ACGCCTGCAAAATGCGCTCAAAATGCACGACACTGTCAGACAAAATGAGACACGAGTTTAAATTCATTCCCGTTTAAGTGACAATTGTCTGATTGTCTGTCACAATAGTCTTCATCGGGAACTATTCGATGACCATTTAGTCAAACCATTTCACAGCCAATCGCCGGCCAATACCTGTCGCCGCTGTCTTTGTGGTCAGTTTTACACCAATTGATGAACAGCTTTAATATCATATTGAGTCTCCTGTCGTCCCAATTGCCTTCGAGTATAAGCTTTCTTCTCATCACTTCATCTGAAGAGGAATACAATAAACCATTAGTTTTGCAAATATTACATCATTTTGGGATCAATTTATGTGCCGATGACAGCCATCGCCAGCCATCCATAGCAACCATATATGGTATACAAAGACAATACAAACCATCGGTGAGTTTAATAGTGGAAACACTGTTGGATGACATGATGTCTTCGGCGGATGTGTTGATGAAGTGATTGAATGAATGAAATGAACGAAAAGTCAATCAATGTTTACATTAAAAACATATGATTTGCGAGAATATAGTGAACGCCATCTCAGAGGCGGTCAATACAGGCATCGCTTCACAGAATCGGCGCTATATTTGAATCATACCTTCAATTCAACCCTATTTTCATTGACAACTTAATTGAGTGACAATTCATTATTACATTAATTATAATTATATGCAATTAATCACGTGTTCAACCCAATAAATAATCATCTAGTACAAAATATTTATTTAAATTATTTCTCTCAAACATTTATTTATTAATGCAAAATATTTGGCATTTCGTGAAATGAAATTATTTATATTTCTATAAATATTATTTAATACCAAATGTTTAGTCAAATCAATATATTGTTGAGTAGGAGTTGAGTATATTATATAATTGGTTTATGGGTTTGCATTTCAACCGACAATAACAACAAACACCAGCACAACATCATATACAGCCGCCCACTCTATTATGTGTGTATAACAAACCCACACTATCACCAAACTATCATGATTACTTGTCTATTTATACATATCATGTTTGATAAATATTATTCTGCATATAAACATTGTATTACCAATATATGATAAATTGAATTATTTTCTTATCGCGGTTACTATTAAATATGTTATTTATATTTTTAACATTATTTTTTTGTGTAAAATTTATAATAATTCTTTTAAGAAGAATAAAATGTATTCATCATTGACTTTATTTTAAGATATAGTTATAAATAAATGTGAAAATAAATTTAAATAAATCTCTCAGCAAATATTTTAAAGTTTTAATTAAAACGATTGGTAAATGACAACAGAAATACATTCAATATGAAAGACATAACAAAAAGATTTTTATAAATTATAAACAATAATTTCATATATAATTTAAAAATGAGATAAAATTGTTAACAATTTTTTTATACATAATATACTGTATATAAAATTCCTTTCTTCATTGTTATCCATATTTACAATATATTTTAAAAATTATAATAATTACAAGATTTTATATTCTCTTCGTAGCGGTTATACAATATATGATTTGTACAAATAATTACAAATTATTAAGAGCTGTCGTATTCGCACTGCATTTGTGGTGATTTCCTGAAGTCGAGGCCAGACATGACTCCATTGTCATGAGGAACGGCCAGACTTGTGGTGATATACGAGGAATTGTAGTTACATTTTGAGCAATACCTCGTCGACGGCACACCAGTAGCCGACCTCTTGGGTCGGGTGTACTCACACTTCCATATGAAGCCCAACTCGTCGTGCATTTCCGTACAAATCGATTGCTATTTTCGTATACAAAATGGATATTTCTTTTAGAAAATCATTATTATTTCGTTTGCCTTACAAAAGAAAACATCGATTCTGTATAACAATTTCGTTTCAAATAAAACTAATTGTAAGACAAAAGACAATACTATAACCGAACGGAAAGTCAATTTTATACAAGGATTCAGTGGTATATATACGAGTAAAACGGAGAATAGTAAATAAAAGACAAACAAAAATGGTTTGAAAAGTTTATATAACGATCGGATAAAATAAACAAAACAAAAAATACTATATAAACCAAAAAAAAAATTAAATTGAATTAAACTTTTTTTCTGTATTATTTGTGTTGCATCTCTTGGGAGGTATAGTTCATCGATGGCTTACTTTAGATTTGAGTGCATTTTTCTTGGCTTTGATGAAAAATTCAGACATAGCTGTAAATAAAGCCAACGCTAAGCCCACTAACAGCACAGCGAATACACCGCCGATGTTCTCGAGGCCGAGAGGACTCGCTTTTCCCTCTTTGTTGATCTCATCGCGAATACACGTCAGGCCCGGACTCTTCCACCACTTGTCATAAATCATCTGAATTTCGCCCTTTTCTTGCATCTCAAGGATTGCCAAAGAGATCCTGTCCTTCCACACCGACCCTAACGAGTAAAACACATTTTAAAGCATTTCCAATAATTGATAGTAAATTTAATCTAATTGTTTTAAAATAGTATTTATACTTAAATAAAATAGGTTTAAAATTGTCTAGTAGATAATAGCCAGTTATATTGAATTTTTTGTAAATCCAACTAAAGGTTTACAAAAATGATGGAAAGATTACACATGGTTGCGATCAGTCTAACCATGTTTGGGTTAAATCAGTATCGAAAACCCAATATTATGTCAAACTCAATGAACACATCGGCCAATAGATAGATATAACTATTTATATGAATTAATAGTTCTGTCGAAAGACACTATATATTGGAAATCATAGGGGAATGGATTGAGAGAAACTGAATGGCATAGAGAACTGTCAGCTCTTATATGTGTGAAGACAACGGAATTTGTGGACCAAATGAAAGACTACCGCAAAGAAGAATAGAAAGAATAGAGAAGAATATATGGACTTATTATTGTATTTGAGTTTATTATACGCAAAATATATGAAGCAAATAAAATCGCATTGCATTTCATTTTTGGTGCAAAGATTTGATGAAAAAGAGAGAAAATGCCATTCATTTTCAAAACAAACGGCTATTTATATAGTATGTTGTGTTGGAGAAGACGATACGACGTGAGATAATGAGTGAGAAATTAGCGATAAAAAAAAGAGAGAGAGAGAGAGAGAGCGTAATCAGGATAAATGACTAGAAATAAAAAGTTTTGAATGGATATAAAAATTCACATTTAGATTGGGATATAATTTAAATAAATTGATGACAAATAGTGTGAACACCGATGTCTTTGAAGCCTTTATTTTGATTAAACGACATTAAACTCAAACTGCAATTCATTGGACACCAAAAATAGACATCTGGGAGAAGAAGACAGCAAATGAAAGAGGAATGTAATAATCAACTGATCGTATCGTTTGTTCACATTTTCAAAGCGACAGCGAATTTATATAACATATATTATATTATATTTTATATATACTATAAGTTTATTTTTTCTTATTTTTACAATTATTCTCAATCATTACGGGTTATGACTCTCTGGCGACCCATATATTAAAACTGATAGCGAAAGGAAAGGATAAAGAGTTTTATTATACTCTTAAGTGAAATGCAGAGGCGATGAACACAACCAGAGAATAATGATTGAAGTATTTTCTTCATCTTCTTATTGTGAACACAACGGCTTATCTCCGCTTAACAGCCAATCAATAGTCCAAATGAATGAATGAATGAATTGCTAACAATATATTCATTACGTTTTGTTTAACTGTTTGTATAATTATATCGTTTTGCAGACTTTTTCGGACACAAGAATACTCTTTGATTAATTAATGGCTTTAATGTAACGACTTTTGGAAAATGAAAATTTTTAATCAATTTAAACTCATATTTCAAATGATATATAATTTAATAAATGAATTCAAAGGAAAGTCGTGTTGCCGGCCATTAGATGCTATCTATTGAAGTAAATTGTATTTACTATAAGTTTCGGTATAATAAACACATATATCATAGAGTTGAGAGAGAGAGAGAGAGAGAGCGTAATCATGATAAATGACTAGAAATAAAAAGTTTTGAATGGATATAAAAATTCACATTTAGATTGGGATATAATTAGAGAGAGAGAGAGAGAGAGAGAGAGAGAGAGATCTATTGGATAACTGAGACAGAAATGATGGCTAAAATGGGTTCTGTTTAAGATTAACCTAAAAATGGTTATTTTATATATTGTATAAAATATAAACTACAATATAATGACCAAAAATTCACATTAAAGCAATGGAAACAACAAATAGAAAAACACTTAATTTTAAGTGTCATATGAAATAAATGTTTACTAAAAATATATACTGTACAAAAATTTGTTTTCATTGAGATTATTAAATGCATAAATTTATGTTTATTTTAAGTAAAAGTAAATTTAATATATTAAAAATTAAATCATTTTATTTTCATTTCGTAAAATATTGTAAATATTTTGAGAGCCAAATGCAAAAATGAGAGCAAATATTTAACAATGAAAATACTTTTGAAGAATATTTTCTGAAATATTAAAATTTTGTGAAAGAAAACAATATTTTTCATTTTAATAAATACGAGAATATATACGGAATATTAAAGTTGGCGTTGAATATAAGAAATGTGCAAAATATTCAAATTTCTTGATGTCATGTATTGGACAAAAAATGCAATGTTTTGGAAAAATAGCGCTGACTTTCATGTCTCAAAGAAATTTAATATTTTTAATATAACTAAAACTGCACTCAGTTTTCGCTTATATTCAAATTTACGATCGTTTCTGTCATTATAGTCGGGATTAATATAAAACTATATTTTACATAAAAACAATATACAAAACTGTATCAATAATTCATTTTTGCAAATAAACAAATCGTATTTTCCTATTATTTAAATAAAATTTAGTAAATAAAATAAAATCGCTTTTATTCAAGATAAGCGATATTATAAACGTTTAAATCTTCTTTACTATAAACGTAAATCTTGATCAAAATAAGTAAAAATAAATAATTTTATACATTAATTCAATTTCTTAATCAAACACAGAAATAGTCGTTTGATTCGGAGGTAACAGAAAATTATTAGACATTTACTGACACTAATAAATGCAGGAATAAAACAGCGAAACAACTGTTTATATTTATACAAACCATTTATAAACCCATTGTATAAATTGTATTCAATTAATGTCTGACATTAAGTTTCAGTAAATATTTAAAAGATTAGTTAAAGAATGGGAGAGAGAAAGAGCATGAAAAACAAATACAGACTATTGTATATACTTTGGTATTCAGTCAGTAGTGATTTCAATAGAAAGGCTTTCTCTCAGAGGATATTCAAAATAAGAGAAAAAATAAATTTTCAACGAAATAAAGACATTTATTGTAATAAAATGTACAAAACTCTTTCACAATACTATTTATTATGGAATAAAAGTTAATTTAGATTTATATTTATTATAAGTTTATCGCATTTTATACAGACTTTTATACCAATTGTTGTCAAGAAATAAAGTTGATGTCAGCGGAAAAATCAGTACTCAAATTGAAGACAACAATTGACAACAATCTGAGTCTCTTTCATATTAATTACAACTCATATAATATATAAATTTTAGTCTCATATAAAATAGTCTTCATGTCATGAGATAACAAAACAAAGTATATTTTTGGTTACATATCCACTATTAAACATCAAACCAATGGTATATAAAACAGTAATTTTCCCATAAATTAGTTTATATCATACATAAGTTTTTACTCGTTTCTATTCTGTATTTATTTGCAAACAATAAGTTACATATTATATTCATTTATCGTCGGCTAGTTTTCATGCCTAACC